ATTTGTTTTCCCATCAAGGTCTGTTTTACCATGTGTAGGGACATCCAAATGTGTAAGGCTATTGGAAACCAAAAAAATAAAGGAATGGGATAGCTATAATTGGATAAATTCGGCATATGAAAACACCAAAATCAATGATTTTTTTTTCAGTGGCTGTGTGACCTTGTGTCTGACACATTCATATGCAAATGACTAATCTGTGAAACAAACAGGAGCGGAGACAAACCACTCAAATGTTTGGAAACACTCATTGTGTGTCAGATAGCTACTGATAACACATCCTAACATTGCTTTGTCTTGAGTTTATCTTTGAAACTTATAGGCACACAGATTAAACCTGTGTTGTTGATTTTGGAAAACACTACTGAGGCTGCCTTGCTTCCCTTCAGAAAATCTACATTTTAACCAACTTACATGACATTCTATGTTATATTGACTTCATCATATGAAAGTTTATGGTGCATTTCATCAATTAATAAATAAATGTGAAAATCGTAATTTTCAACACAAATAATAGTCTCGCTACCTTAAACCACATTCAGTTTCTACGATGGCAGGGTCTCATTGCGGCTATCCCTAAAGACTGGAAAATAAGTAGACCAGTTTTGTGCTGCCAGATCCTCCAATCTGTGTATATGGTCGAAAGCAAATGATTGATCTCTCTAACTGTACCCCAAAATTCAGCCGTAAACTCATCTCTTCTGATTTTTTTTATTATTCCATCTGGTCAGCCCTTCTTTAGAGACTTGTTGGGGGTAAAAACTGGATGGGATTTTTTTCTATTCAATGCCATTTCTTGTTACAATTTCCAGTACTCTTCGTGAATTTCAATGGAAATTAAACCATAACGTCCTGTACACAAATGCTATACTATCACTCTCAATCACTTTGGTTATATCTGACATGTGTACATTTCGCCATAACTTTAGTGAAATTCTGATTGTGTGACTGTCATGTGGTGCAAGATATTTGGACAAGGTTTTATGATCACTGGGGTCAACTTTTGCGGTGCCCCAGTCACTTTCAGCAAAACAGATTTTCCTAGGTGATGAAAGTTTCTCGGACCTTTTGAACCATTTAATTATAATCTTTAAAAATGTATCTATATAAGCAAAATTGAGAAAGAATTACCATCCAAAGATAGAAAATATGATTTCTATGAGAAGAAATGCCACTTTTCTGTTTCTAGAAAAATGGACCAATTTTGCACCATAAGACAACGTTACTTTATGTTTTGGTGGTGAACCCGTTAGTGTGTACGGCCTTAATTGTTTTTGTTTGTTTTTTTCTTTTCAAGCCTTTGAGGGATTATGTACAGAAAGTGTTATCTATTATGTCAACTGTTTCATGCAAATTTTATGATAAAAGAAAATATCAAATTTCTTTTTCTTTTTTGTGTTTACTACACACTTATTGTTTTTTTTTTCTAGTTTCTAGTCTAGTTTTCTTGTCTGTGTATTTGTAATTTTGAAATGAAATAAAATTACATTAAATATAAAAAAAAAATCATCGCACAATTATTTACACTAAGCCTGCCGTCCGTGTATTAAATCAGACTACCCTGTACCGCTATAAACCTAAAAATCGGTAATGTAATCGGTAATCGGTAATTCTCAATAATTATCTCCCTTATTCACATTTTATTTATTATAGTACCAGTTTTTCTCTCAGTTGCTTTTATTACTCCAGGTGAACGAATAATAAAAGAGAAAACATACAGCTTTATTTATTCCCGACTCAAAAAAAAATCACAATTTGTCAACTTTGCTTAAAATCACTAGCTGCCACCAGACAAGCGTCGCTTTTATATTTAGACGTCGATGATTTATATAGTGTGATGCAACAAAAGTCCAACCGTAAAATGCACATTAATATTCTGCCGGGGTTTATTTGTTCTAAAAGTTATTTCTCGGGCAAATCATGATGAAGACAACAGTAATTCCCCCCCCCCCACATCTCAGCTCCCTTCATATATGTATTGCTATCATTGCTATATGATTAGTAATTTATGCAAAATATCTTAATTGCGAACTAATTATTAAATGAATTTCCCTGTTACTAGCCCAGATATTTATGTTGGCATTAACTGCTTTCATTTATAGGCAATATATGTCAACTACAATACTCATTAACTTGGTGACAAAGTCATATATGCAATTTCTTTTTTGACAATTTACAGACAACTTTTCCAACTTTGTACTCTACGTTTAATAGTGGACAGCCTAGTTTTCGTGATTACGCACGCTAATTGTAATGGTTTACGAGCAACTTTCCCCGATAGGCACTTTAATTTTAATAATTACTGAGCAACTTTACGGACTATGCACGTTAGGTATACGACGGGCAACTTTTCACGTTTCAACTGTTAATAGATTACGGGCAAATTTAATCGACTTTGGACGGTACTTTTAATAATTTATGAACAACTGTTGCCGACTTTGCACGCTACTATCACGGTGTAAATTCTTCTCCGAGGGGTTCTCCACACGTATCAGGGGGGATCTCGTTTCGTCTCTCTATCGCGTCCCCTTGAGGTACGGGATCGGGGAAGTCACTTAAGCTTTACAGTCAAATAAGACACACACAACGAAATACGTTTCAACTCTCGTCTTAGTCGATCAGTCGAGCACTTTATAAGACACAGTGCCCTTGGGAAAAGTCCCCAAGACTATCGCAAGGCTGACCCAAGGCTCGCCCAAGACTCACTAGGACTGGACCAACTCAAACTCTCTTTATTCATTTTTAAAACTCTAACCAATTACAAAACAGTAAAAAGACTCTAGGGCGTAACCTTCATTCATAAAGCCAATCACACTAAGTACTGGACACGTCATATCTTTTGATTAATCGTTCACTACATTAATAATTGCGAATACTAACTGTCAGAAATAGTAGTCCGAATAGCGACGGTTATCTCGTAATTAGTTCCAAATCACTGAGCCAAGTTCCGTGCAGGACCTCGCATAGGTCTAAACGATGACAGACATAACACAGCCGTTCACTCAGGATCAACTAATTAAGTCGATCAACAGATACGCAAAACAATTTCGTCATACTACTTTCAATAGTTTATTGGCAATGTTTTCCTACTTAGCACGTTACATTTTATAAAAGGCTGGTTACTTTTCCTGGCAACATTTAATGGTTTACGAAGATGTTTTCATGATTTACATTTAATGGTTTACAGACAACTCTTTCCGTATTTATGTGCAACCTTGTTTACATGCCACTTCCGGTCTCTGTACTTTACTTTCAAAACTTTAAAGGATTTTTTTCGAGTATGAACGCCACTTTTAATATATTTTTTGCTAAACGTTTCACAATTGTACTTTTAATAGTTTTTATTTTTGCAACTTTTGCTGATTCTGCACGCCACTTTTATCCTTCCGATTTGATACGCTATGTTCTATTAGTTTACTGGCAACTGTCGGTCGCTACTAATACGCGCATCATTTAATTGGTACTAACCGTTCACAAACCCAATTGTTCTTTCAAAATACGGAAACTCCGTGTTAACTTCTTGATCGAAAATTGTATTTCAGATGCGATTAAAAGTTCAGACCGATGTTTTGACTGATTATTACGCCTACTTTATGTATATGCTCACCTGAACATGATTGGCACGGGAAACGGCTACCGAAACGTTTGACAAAACATTGAATATTTTTCTTGAGCCTCGGAATGAAGTCTCTTACAATCATACAATCGCTTATCCTATTTACAATTCGGGATCCTAGGTAAATGATGGTACTGCATGGTAACTGAAATATACTGGATGCAAAATAATAATGAATAATAAAATACTTTAATTATTACACGAAATATTCAATAAATATTTGTGTAAAATTATATTTGATAAAATTCTTGTCATATGGATTGTCGTGGTTACAGTGGTTTAGAGATTATTGTTCTAATGTTCCAAAATCCAAGGGTACTGTAAAATACTTTATTTTCGCTTGGAATTAATTTTTGCTATTATCGCTAAAGGAATGATTCAGTGAAAATAAAATCCAGCGAATATACCTTTTTTTCCTATATTTTACATTCAACTTGTAGAAAAATCAGTGAAAATATATTCCATACAAAATACCCAAATAGTCAAATTGTTCATTTGATGGGAAGAATACCAAACATTCATAAAAATGCGATTTTTTTTATCATTAAAATAATAAAGCTGAAGTACAGCTTTTTGAATACAGTGCCATCTATCATCAAAATATGGCAAATACTTCTTAACTGAAGTGTTTTTATTTCAACGAAGAGTGCTGTACTTCTGTACTGCAGTGTTTTGTCTGTTTTGCGATATCATCATTTCTCTGTTAAAATTTAGATAAGTCACAGCGCCATCAACTTGTCATCCCAGCAAATTTAACCTTTGACCCAGTAGTATAAAATATGGCGGCTGTTTATTTGGGTCGAGTCAGGAACGCCTCCCATGATGGCAGACAACTATAAATGTTCACCGTAACTACGATGCTCATATGGACATTCTTTCAAAATAATGAGTGCATCCACCTTAAAGATCAAAGTTGAAGGAAAGAATATCTTCCCAGCACAAACCGACGGAAGTAGTAATGTATTTGGTGATGGGGAATTTGTCTTGGCTCGAATGAGGTAAAAAAATGTAAAACTTGCAACTCATGGACGATGTCGAAATAGTGGCGGGGATCTTTAATTTTCATTTACGTGTAATAACGTGTGAGGATAGTATTTATTTTGATTAGATAGTAGATAATACTATCGATGATCGCCGTTGCTACAGTTTTCGGTTCACTGAAACTTTGATGTGAAAGTTCTGGTAGACCTGAGTACAGTTATGTAGGTGGGGTCGAATGATCAGGGGAAGGAGGTCAGCCTACGTACAGGAGAGTACTCAGGGCTAAAATTTGTGGCGTATGAATCGAGTCGGAGAAAGAGTTCCAGGCCCCCTCATCCTCTAACCTGAACCCTAAACCTAACACTCCAGCCTAACATAATTCAATATGCCCCTCCAAATAACTGAAGTGACCCGAAAAGGGTAAATATAGTTAAAATGGGGGGTACTGGAGGGTTAGAATAGAAGTTATAGGTGAGGGGGCCCTAAGAAACACTTACCATAGAATCATGCCGGCTGTGTAAACACATTTAAGATGTGCATTCTTCACATCTGTGTGTACATGTATTTTTATTATAATCTAACCCTGTGTACTTGGCTGTTTTAGGGGTGGTATATACACATGGGGTGACGACAAGGTCCCAATAATAAAAAATTTTATTCAACACGAAAAACATACTACAGAAGTCGTTTTTATGGTTGTATAAACAAAAGAAAAAAACTAAACAAAAAATTTAGGAACAAATAAGAACAAGATTAAACTCGAAACTACATATAAACAAAAATGTATTACTTAAAGGACGAATAAAAGCTACTATAAAGCACTATTATTTCTTAGTTTGGTGGAGCTGTTACATGTATAATGCATCTCTGATTTTCATACCTGACTTGATAAATTGTGTAACATTGATAAAGCACTTCTTCATAATTTCAATAAATTGAACTTCAGAGGGCAATGTGTTGAAATCTTTAATTTTGTTTTTACTCTGTAATATAAGTCTTTTAAGACATTCAATATAATTACTACATTCCATCATGAAATGATATTCACTCTCAATTACATTACAGGTTTTGCATTTACGTTCTGCTCTTGGTATCTGTCTATGTCTGCCAGTCTCTATTAGCATCTTATGATCTGAGATAGTGAATTTGCATAAAAATTGTCTCAGTTTAATATTGCTGTTCTCTGTTAAATAATTGTCTATTTTGAAAACGAGCTGGGTAAGACCCCTTCACCCATAACTCTAATCCTGCCCCCCCCCTCCCCCCCACTGGAACATTTTCTGGCATTCCTGGAGTTTCGTAGGACCCAAGGAAGATTTTCACTGTTAGCAATTTTTGCAATTTTTCACTGACTCGCAAAATTTGATTACTAAGACCTGTTCGAGTCTGTACCATAGTAGAGAATAAATAGGTACATGTTGTATGTGCACTGTGAGCGTTTTTGTTATAGTCATAAAAACAACCTGATTAACTTCTTTAGTGAAAAAGATCACTTCTGCAAAGAATGTAACAAAATGAGCAGTGTCAAGTTGAAAGGGACAAATAGTTATCTACATGTATCTCAAAAATTGAGAATAACCTGCACTCATTTGGGGTCTTTGACATAAACTCACTGTTATGGTTTTGATTTTTTTTTTTAATTTTATTAATTTTTCACTTTCAGATGGATGGAAGACAGTGAAGCAGTCATGTGTAACTTGTGTTGTAACAAGTTCAACCAATTTCGTCGTAAACATCATTGTCGTGTTTGCGGTAGAGTAACGTGCAATAAGTGTTGTAAAGAAAAGGTTCCGTTACCGCACCTTGGTTATCCTGATCCTGAGCGTGTCTGTGAAGAATGTCTTACAGTTACGCAATTAATTTCAAAATCTCGCTCACACATTTTAGTAAGTAACAGCTTTGATGCATCCATTTGTGTTTTCTCATTCACATCTTGTATCCGTGTGCAAAGACTGATTTTTTAGAAATCCTGAGTCATAATGGTATTCCCCAAAATCAAGTCCAGCAAGCTTGTTGACAGCTGGGGAGAGAGGTCTTCAAACAAAAATGGAAATGTATGTGACTGTTTTGGTGTATTGAGACACAAACAATAATTCTTGCCCCTGATTTCTTCGTTTTTAAACTTTTTTGGTTTATAAATTGTTAATTTCATTTTACCAAATTAAAAATCCCATACTACCGGGTATAACTATATTCAGATTTTTTTCAAAATCAATATATCAATGTATGTTTTTCTGTTGCGTCAATGACGCGCCAGTGAAATAACACAACTCATTGCATCATAGCAAATCATCGTGTGTCAGCAGCACATTATATTAGCTTAGAGGGCACACTGCCTCGGATTGTATTCATTCCATTATGTTCATACATTTATCGCATTTACTTTGTGCTTTTATCGCAGTGCCATCGCCAATAATTTCTACTTAGCCTAAATATGATCCCCCAAGTCTGCTGAACAAGAGATTTTGTCAATTTTATCTTTAAAGCAATGATTCAATCACCATACAATCTGAGTTTCTTTATTTGATTCCCATCAATGAAAACATGATGAATCACATGTTTGAATCACAACCTAGTATCAATCAACACCAATTGTATACAAATACACACAAACTAAATCTTTACGCTCACATCATTAGAACATATGATTCAGTGCATGTTCTGATGCCTAATTGATCATCTTTACATGGAGATGAATGTCATTTTAAAAAAGATATACTTGGATTTTGTACCTCATGCAATAAAACAAAATTACACTAAATTGATTACATGTAATAATGTACTTCATTTCAGTCTTTTCAAATAGAGGCTGCTGATGGTCTGTATAAAGAACTACAGGATCCCAAGGGAATGGTTCAAATAGTACAACTAGGTGGTATACAGACTTTGATTTACCTTGCCAGATTGGATAATATAGACATCAGAAAGCACACAGCTGCTGGTATTCATATACTCTCTACAAATCCAGCGTTGCATGCCACATTAGCTGGTGCTGGCGCTATCAAAGCACTATGTAGGTGAGAGAGAAATGACACAAGCATGTTTACAGTGCAAATGATGTCATCAGTATTTGTGTTTCAGTGCAAATGATGTCATCAGTCAATGTGTTTAGTGTTAATGATGTCATCAGTCTTTGTGTTTCAGTGCAAATGATGTCATCAGTCAATGTGTTTAGTGTTAATGATGTCATCAGTCTTTGTGTTTCAGTGTAATTGATGTCATCAGCATGTGTTTCAGTGTAAATGCTGTCATCAATCTATGTGTTTCAATGTGAATGATGTCATCAGTCCTTGTGTTTCAGTGCAAATGGTGTCATCAGTCATTGTGTTTCAGATTTAATGATGTCATCAGTTATTGTGTTTCATTGTTAATGATGTCATCAGTCATTGTGTTTCAGTGTTAATGATGTCATCAGTTATTGTGTTTCAATGTTAATGATGTCATCAGTAATTGTGTTTCAGTGTTAATGATGTCATCAGTAATCGTGTTTCAGTGCAAATGATACCCTGTTGACATTTGACTTTAAGCAATGAAGTTCAATATTATTGCTAGTATTTATAATAGCATGGCAGATACATTATGGTTTTGATTACAGTTTACTGCGTAGATCACAGACAAGTGAAGAACAAACCATTATTGATTGCATCAGTGCATTGAGAATATTCTGTAAATCTGCTGAACTCAAGATGAAAGGTGAGTTCAAAGTGCACTTAAATGTACGTGTTCCGTAGAAATACTGCAGTTAGATGCAAAACAGACAAGTACATACAAATATAAAAATAAATAATGTAAAAATCAACTTTTAATTGAAAATAACATCTTGACCCATGAATTTTAAACAAATTTACTGTTGACCCCAATATATTTTCACTTTTGATCTCCGCTTGACTTTAAACCCATAATAATGAAATCAAGTCAGATTATCATAATTCCAGCGATGTAATCTGCTGCTGGTCATTTGCGTTTTTTACTGTTACAGTAGTACCAGGTTAAAGTGGGGTCTGAACCACCATCTGGTATGCTTTGTGTATTAATTTGAAAGTGTTGGATTGCACGATCTAAGCATGGAATAAGTGTGGTTATTAAGCAACTTAAGCGGGATGCCCAGTGGTTGTCTGGAAGCCACGCGGGATAGTGCAGTTAATTAGGGGATTCAGTGTTGTATTCGCCAGTTCGAAGCACACATGCAGTACATAATTTTGCACTTTCCCATTTATTATTTCCGCTATATACACTGTAGCCTCGTTATAACGAACTCTTTGGGGGACATACAATTAGTTTGTTATAGTGAAATGTTCACTATAATGAAGCACATAATACATTGGGTTTGTTGTGAGCGGGAGACACGCTATGTGTTCATTATATCAGGAAATTCATTATAAAGGTGTTCATTAAATTGACGTTACAGTGTACTGTACTTGTCAAATCGAATGGCATTGGCCATAATTGGTTATTTTAAAAATAGAACTGACATAACCATGGAATACCACAAACAATTTACATTTTTTTCATTATTGCACAGTATCTGAAAGTAGTACCTAATGTGGCCGTGATAATGTCTTGACTGTTTTGGGTTCAAACTGGATGTACAATTTCAAAGTAGATTTAGAAAAAAACAGATCTAAGGAAAGTATTTAAAATAATTTACATCTTGTTTATGGTTTTACTATCCAGCTATTGATGATGGAGTACTTCAACCGGTTTTATCGTTATGTAGTGCAAGAGAAGAGATAGCGCTGTTAGTTGTCATGATATTAAGTTTGATTGTGGAGCATCATGGGACTCATACTGCTGTGATTGAGGTAGGTCTGTTAAAGGGCGGTATGTGCGACATTTGTGTTGATAAACATTGATTTTCCTACAATCCAACGCGCTCTTCTAATGGAAATCACAAGTATGAGGATTTTACCTGGGTGCGACTTGCACTAATTGCCACCGGTGATCTTTCGATACCTTCCAATCACCTGAAATAGTAACGACTCAGTTTGTACTCGTTGATCTGCGCAACAGTCAAAGTCACCATCTTTGTTTATATGAGACCCACATACGACAACTATCACGCTTTAACTTTAATACATGGATCCCATCAAAACATAGTTCTCCTAATTTTTAGTGACGTTGTTTCTTCATTTCCCTGAGCTGTAAATGTGACATAGCTTGACTAATTTCATTCCTACCATTACTAAAAAAAGGCAAAAGTGATTTCATAACTTGTATATTTGATTTCATGAACTAACATGAGGCAAGCTTATCATGTTTCAAGTTGGGTTGAATGAATAGTGCAGTCAATCAATCAATCTTTATTCAGTACTGGGCCGCGACACATCATACAATATTTAAAAATACATAGGTAGAGGTGTTTTACAGAGAAAAAGAAACACAAACTACTAATTACAATACCACAGAAACAGTAAAAAAAAAATTATTGATAAATCAATTTACATGTAAAGAATGAATAGTGCAGTAATGATTAGGGAAATAATAGTAGGTTATTCTCCCTCTCAACATTTTCCATACAAAGATTTTAGTTTATTTCCATGTGCCACATTCCCTGTGTATCTGGTACTACCCATGAATATATTTATATATTTATGTAATACCAGAGGTACATTACTTGGTGTTTGCAATGCGCAAAGTACTGTATGGTGACATCATGCCAAGATCCCATTCAAGTCTCATCTCGTAGATATGTAGCGAGACTAATGCGACATTCTGACATGACATAGGCGGTTTGTAATAAAACAATAAAACATGTATTACCACATTCATAGTGAAAAAATGGAATATATTGAAAATGTACAGAAAATATAGTTATCGTAATTCGTCATATCTTGTGCAGCTATTTTGATCCACCTGGACATCCCAATATCCTAGTTACCTCGGACATGCACATTCACATTTTTCTGAGTTGGAACGCGAGCGAGATTGAAACGAAATCTTGGTATCATGTCACCGAAGTTGCAAACCCCAAGTAATGTACCTCTGGTAATACTGACTAAATAGGAGTGTTTGTGCTGGATAACGTTCATCCAATGTTAAGAGGTCAAATGTTCTTGCATGAGGGTACAAACATTGATTATTCTTGCTGTAATACTTTTATTAAAGATGATATACAAAAAATTCACTCTCCAAAACAATCATTCGCATTAATCGTTAACAAAATACAGCTGAACTTTTGCAAGTGTCACCATCTTGAACAAGCATTTTCTGCATACATTCTCCTTACAAGTGGTAATTGCCAATAAATGCTTCATTGAAACACAAAATATCCAGGATTTTTCTATTCTTAACAATGTTTTATGTATGCATGTGATGAAATAACCCGTGTATCAACCGTAGAAGTTACGCTTTATAACACAATTCCCTTATTTGTCTAGAATGATCGAAATGCTTTACCAAGAATATTAGACCTCACATCCTCACAAGATGAACAGGTATGTAGACATCTTAGAGATGTTAAGGGACATGTGTATATGTATGTGAACATTAAATTGGATTTCTTGCCTTTTTTTCAGGATTTTGTTTTGCAATCAAATATGTCTGACATGTAGACGTGAGTGGCGCCCTCGCTGGCCGAACGGCATCAGACCCTACTAACACCTGACAGAATAGTGTATGTCTCATCGGCAAGATCAATACTTTGAATTTACAAAGATCACGCCGTCTTGCATAGAGTTTCAATGAATATTCATTTTGGTGGTCATCGTAATACTGTCAATCAAAGCCATGTTTGCATTGTCGGCAAAATTCACACTGTTTTCAACGAGATCATAAAACATTGGGCGGAAATAAACTGCCGTTGATGGTTACTGTTTGACGGCTGTCATTATCTGACGTTCCTCCAATTTTATTGGTACGGACAAAAATTGTCAAGGGGAGTGAAAAACTACATTTTTCTGTCAGGCGTGTGTTGGGTTTAGTGCATCGCGGAGGGCGCAACTTGTGCAACCTTGTCAGGCTAACTGATATGTGGCCCTTTTGTTTCTGAAAATGCCCATGTGCAGCTGTATCTAATGCATTCATGATCTATTTGGTTGAAAATTGGTAAAATATCCTTTGTTGGTATGAGTTGTATCATGGCAACGAATGAATGGGTAATACAGTCCATGATGCCACAAGTATCAAGCATCTCTATAAATAGGTGATATCAGATGATAAACTTTTTATTACATGACCAACTCCGACTGAATTCATTACCTTTATGCTATGTGATTTCTTCTCAGATGCAGGAAGTGGCACTAAGAACCCTGGCATTATTATCAATGGGAACTGACCAACATAAACAACGACTTGTTCAGGTACTGTTTATTGTTTCTACCATTATTCTACTAAATTATTTGAATGTTTTGATTATATTTAGTAAAATAATCCATGAACCAGAATTTTACGAGTTTTGCATTTAAGAGCCAGATTGACTTACTTTTAATCTAGACGTTTTAAAATCCTGATTTGAAACACGCTCACAACATCTACATGTAACATGAAATATTCTGTATTCACTTGGACGTAGTTGCAACAACTTCTTTTGTTTTCATCACAAACTAGTCCTGTTTATAGGCTGAAGATTTTCCTTCAGAAGATTGGGAAAATATAGCCAAATAAGCAGAAAATTGACTCAAATTTTGCATGTTTGCACCAAAAGTAGTGTTCATTTTCAGTAATATTGTAGAATATAAGATAAAAGTGCAGACAAATCTGGGCAAGAAATTCTTGTGATAAAAATGTTGATGGCATCTTATATTTGTTTATTGAATTATACTAAATACAGTGATGACACGCCTACCTACTAATCTGTGTGGTTCTATTACAGGAAGATTATGCACGTGGTAAATGTTTTACAGCAGCAGTGCGAAGGAAACCTAAGAATACTCAGGTTGTGTGCAATGTAGCTTGTCTACTGGCAAATTTAGCAGCTCTACCTGAACAAAACCAGGTAAGAATAACTGGTATCTTTTTGTCAGAATCTGACAGTCAGTGCATTTCTCGAACATGCCTGGGTGGATTATGTTGGTACAACTCATAATGGGAGACATTTTCACGTCAATTTTGTTTGTTCTGTTGATCTATGCCTGTGACCATTTTAATCCCCAAAAGTACTGAAAAAATCACATGTCTTCAACTGTTTCTCAGCCATTACTAGGCTGATTTCATTCAAACTTGAATTTAAACATTCACGGTTAGTTATTGACACATGTCAATTTGTTTTGCGATTTGATTCAAAATTGCTATTTTTTATTTACAAGTGTGTCACTCATTTTGTAGATACACTTTAAAGCAGAGGGGTCACCACCTGCTAATGTGCGGGAATTGAGTCCCAAGCGAGGATAACAACACACTCTAAAACCACAAAGACTTGTGGGTAGATGCTTGGTTGAAAACAACAACATGCTATGACCATTTTCCGCATCGCCAAATGATGACTCCTCCACTGTCAACTTTGTCGAGCGGAGCTTATCATATGAGTGATTGTCCGTCGGCCGTCGTCGTCCGTGTCAATGTTTTACTTTTTCGACTTCTTCTTGAAAAATACAAGCCTGAATGTTTTGATACTTGGTGTGTATGTACATGGGGTAGATGATATCCTCAATTCTTTAATTTTGGTGAATATTTTTGTAATTTTTGGTAAAAAGTGATATTTTTTACTTCTTGTTAAAAAAATGCAAGTCTGATTGCTTTGACATTACATTTATAGGTACTACATGTGGACCTCTCTCAGATTTGTTCATTTTATGATATCTTCAATAATCTAATTTTGATGAATATTTATGTCATTTTTGGTAAAAAGTGATATTTTTGAATTCTTGTTGAAAACAGCAAGTCCGATTGCTATACATACTATACATATTGTTCATTTTCTAATGATATCTTCTGTTCTTTGTACATTGCTAACAGCGGAGCTATCTCAGCCGACTGGCTGCTTGTTACTTTTTCAACTTCTTCTTGAATACTATAAGCCTGATTTCTTTGATACTCAGTGTATATGTACCTTGGGTAGACTTCTCTTGGATTTGTTCATTTCATGGTAATATCTTTATCTAGTTTTGGTGAATATACTTTTTGACTCCCATGTGCAAAGCACAAAATGGGAGTCTTTGCAGTTAGTGTGTGTGTATGTGTGTGTGTATGTGTGTATGTGTGTGTGTGTGTATGTGT